TCTACCCAGCCACTGAAGCAGGTGAGTCCAATCTTCACCGTCAATTAACCTGTGCAGATTGGACTCACCTGGTTAATTGGCTGGGTAGATTAAATACATGACATGGAGATGACTTGTTGACTCCACATTGCCCTGGTCTGCAGGACACTCTAGAGAGATAATTCAACCAGATCATACAGGCAGATTGGTTCAAAGTTTTCTATCTAAGGAACACATTTACTTGAAAGCAATCCCTCTCAACAAGCACACTTAAGTGACAGTGGAGAGGAAAACTCGCTTTTAACAAGAAGGAACCTCCAACAAAAACAGAATCAGTGTGAGCTGCCATCTGCCGAGGCCGACTGTGGTTCGAGGAGACTGAAGCAGTCATAGAAAAAGAAGCAGAGTTATCAGAGGTAACTTTCAAACATCTCCACAGCTCCCCAACCAGGAAACATAACCAGGCAGATGAACTCCGAGCCAGCCCCCACATCAGAGGATGAAAAAGAGCACAACATTTTTCAGAGAATTTGTTATACTCCAACATGAAAAAAGAATGTGAAGTAGTTTATGCCTTTAACAGGTGACACAAATATACCTAGGAAAATAACATATTTTTTAATAAATAAAGTACAACAATTTTCACACTTTAAGAATTTAGACTGATGATATCAAATATGTGGAAATAAAAGCATTAGAGACAAATGATTTAATTACTCACTTCATTCACCTTCCATTCCCTCCTGCTGCTCTAATTTTCATTCATCTTATCCCCCTGTTCGCTCTGCTTTATATACTTTTCAGCCCAGGTCCAGATAATTAGTTATTCGTATGTACTCTTGTTAGTTGTTCATGTTTGTTTGCTTTTGAGTTTAGTTAGGTCCTTGTATTATGTTCTGACTCTTGGGGCCCTGTGTGTCGAGAGGGGTTAGTGTTTGTCTCATGTTTCGTGATTGTGTCCCGCCTCTTTTCCTGGTTATTACCTGTTAATACCTAAATCAAGACAAAAGTTTTTTACTGCCTGCATCTGAGCCTCTGAAAACTTAGTGGACAAATATTACTTCTGATGGAAATCTACCCGCAGAACTTCAGGCTTTTTTACTTTGTCAGAATGCTTAGCGTGACTGTTTAGCCATGTTGGCACTTCAGCTAAAGTTTGTGTTTATGTAATATATGTTTCAATTGTTGGCAGAATATGTTGCAACTCTGATTGTATGCTTGATTTAGACTAATTTTGTGGTTTAAAATGCTGGCATACAAGGAACTTTCTATGTATTTTTTAAATTTTATATATTTCAGAACGAGTCCAGAACTTATGTCCAACAACAGCCTCACTTATGCATAACGCACAGCAGTGTCTGTAGGGTGGCAGCAATGCACCCAGAGGCACCCAGCCTGCATAAAAAGATTTCTGTGATTGCGGTATTAACCTAGCTGCTACCATCCACCAAAAAAAAAAGAAGAAGAAATAAATGAAAAAAAAGTAAAAAATAAAACAAAGTTTGCAGTTGCAGCTGATTCAGAGTCATGTCTAGTAGGAAGTTTGTTGGTCATGGCCATGAACACAGGCAGGATCCATCACACTCACCTTCTCGCTCACCCTATGATGGGGCTTTCCTCCTGTTAACCTCCTTTTATACCAAAATGCTACCAATATGCCATTATACAGTACCTGTAAGTTAGAAACATGTTCAGCAGTCATCTGGAACACGTCAAATACATTGATATGGGTTGGAGATACGTTGTTGATAAGTTACACATAAGTTATGTACATGTTACTCATAGGTTTTGGATAAGCTAGAAACCACCATTTATGAGTAACTTACACTCAACATATGTCATGATCAAATATGATCAAATAACTTACCTGCTACTTAGGGCCCACAAATGAGCAACGGTGGCATACATAAAACTCAAATCTTGAGCATGCTCAAAATTTCTCAACGTACTTGCTGTTTGTCTGGTCAACCTACTACTTTTGTGTGTTAGTGTGTTGTAACTTATAAAATTTCGAGAGCACTCTGTAGCAGCCATGGGTTTAGGTCAGGTATTTAATGCAATGCATTATTCTCAACTCTTAGGCATAATACTTACAAACTCAAGTTTGCAGGTTGTCGGGGCATAGCCTTTAGGTGAGCTGGGATGTCCGGAATAGGGCTGAATGAGGAGGTCTTTAGCACATCCTGTCGGCCTAATAGGACAAGAATTTTCCTGCACAATTAGCAAAAACATGCTATGGGGGCCTAATTATTAATTTTTTCATTTTCAAATCTAGCGTAAATGGGAGCTTGTAGTTGTCGTCTCCCGCATCATCTGGGTCTGGGTGGCAAAGAAATCAGTCTCAGCAGAGACTCAGAGACATCCCTCTCCCCAAATACCTCCTTCAGCTCCTTCTGGTCAAGCTGAAGCCCTCCGACCTGTCCTGGGTTGTCCTCTAGGCTTTATCTTGGTGGGACATACATCGAACAACTCCCAAGGAAGGCATCAAGGGGGCATCTGAAAAAGATATCCGAGCCACCTCAGCTGACTTCTCTCAATGTGGAGGAGAAGTGGCTCTACTCCCAAAATCGCTGGAATGACCAAGCTTCTCACCCTATCTCTAATGGAGTGCCCAACAGTGCCCAGGTATCTGGTTATATCAGCTATGACCCAGATTTCATGTCCACAGATGAGTGTAAGAATGTAGACCGACTGGTAGAATGAGAGCTTGGGACCTTTAATTGTTGTTTTTTATGTCAGAAAAGTAGAAGTTAGTTGTCCAAGAAGTTCCTCAAGAAAGGTTAAAGAAGTATTTGTTAAAATAGCTAATCAAGTAACAAATAAAGCTAGGTAGATGTGATATAATGTTAAGAATGATACGATCAGATAGAAAGTTATGTAAAAATTGATGACTGGCTCATTAGTTTTGTTCCCTCCACCTGCTTAGCTTTGCCCAGTTTTCATCTGCCCTGATCTGATCCACCTGTTCCAGCTCCTATTTATGCTGCCTGTTTTCTGGCCTTCAGTTCCAGATTATTTGAACCAAGTATGAGGAGTACCCAAGTGTACCTTGTTGTTTTTTTTTTGACTGCCTAATCCTGACCTGTTTCTGCTTTTGGTTATCTAAGTTTTGGCTTGCCCCAGTTCCAGTCTGTTTCTCCCTTCATACTGTGTTTGGGCTTCTGATTGAGATCATTCCGTTAGCAAACTTGGTTCTTTCCCCTGACCCTGGTCTGGATTATCTCATCAGTACCTCTGTGACTCTCTGATCTTCTGGTATGGACCCCTACTTCATCACCTGCTGTAGATTCAGCCTCTGGTCTCCTTTGCTCTTCAGTATCTGCTGCCATGCGCTCTACAGGCTATTCTGCCTTGCTCCTTGAACTGTCTGTCATCCAACTCATACCCAGTCCTTCCTCTGGACATGGACTGAACTTAGAACCAAGTTAGCGATTCACATGCTCGTTATTGTTCCCCATCAGATTCTAATGATCACTAACCTGGATTTCTCTACAGAGAATCCAGCCAGCTGGTCCCAGCTGATGAGCTGCGTAATCCAGAGCTACCAATTGTACTTTTTCTTTACAAACACCTGTTCTGTCTGCCTGAATCTGCCTAAATTCTGGGTCCATTATTCTGAGCCCTGAGATTTCTATCCCATAGTGAAAAATAAAAAAAGAAATATAAATGAGAAACATAATACCAAATCAATGAGATCAGTCAAAATAAACACTTTTAAAATTACCTATAATTTCAAAATCACTGTGTAAGATCAAGTCTTTACTCTATGTAATCTATCTACAACAATATGAACGATAAAGAACTTCAAGCTACAATATCACTTATAATTAATCTGATCTCCAAATAACTTAAAGGTACAATGTTGTTGTGATTTCGTAGTTAAATTCTATTCCCAGCCCGCTGGGAATTTATGTTTCTGATACTTTAAGATGTTTATTGCCCTCCCCTGTAGGGGTGGTAAAATATCTTATTTAATCAGATATTATTTCAGCTGTTATATACTGTTTATGACACACAGTCCTACTAACTGTGTGTTAGAACAATAAATGAAAGAGTGATTTGAGCACTAATCATGGTCAAACAGTTATTTCTGCACATACATGGAATAAATTCACCTCGACTTCTGTTCAAAATATAAGATTTTATTAACAAAATTCATGCAGCTCCAAGTCAAACGTATTTCAGTTTAACACTCTCAACTAAGACTAGTAAAACTCAACTAAACTAAACTAACTACTATGTACAAAGAGGAAGGGGAAAACGGTTGAAAAACATATTACAGTTTAAGATGGATTCTGTGTTTAAAACCAAAGTTTATCTGGAAGAATTTGGGATATGATCAAATTAGCTTTTCATTAATTTTAAAGAAATTGGAATGTCTTCAGACCAATTCACAATGCAAATCCATGAGGTGAATAAAACATTTTTCAGCCAAATAATGCTTTATTGAATGATTTGCTTAATTAAGAACCAATAACCTTTAGCTAAATGATTCTTTACCCTCCTTGAAATAGCTAGCAGCGAATAGACATCAGGATTCCACTAACTGACTCTTGGTCATACTTGGTAATGGAAATGTAATGAGCATTTGAGGAACATATGAGCACTAATGTTATATCAGTGTTTAAATCCTTAGTGAATAAAGTTTGTCTAAGCTTTAGCAATGGCTCAACACATATTCCTGTAGCATAGCGTAGCATGCAGTCCATTCTTTATCATCAGTTATCGTTGTCTTTACTCAGCAGTAAACACACGATATGATTAGAATCATCAAAAGACATATTGCTTGTTCTGTCCCTAATCATGCCAGACCTGCAAACCTTTTTCCATGTCCATTTGGAAAGCTTGAGTTTCATCCATTTGCAGCTCTGCAGTCAGGGATTCTTTGTCTCAGTCTCACAGCAGGGGTCCCCTCAGTCTCACACCAGGGCATGCTCCTCATCCAGTTTGGCTCTGTAAGTTCTGAAACTCAAGAGAAATGTGTTGCAAAAGTTCTGTTTGCAGCAGTTTGGTTCTGAAGGGTTCGACTTATCCTCGATGGTTCTGGGGATCTGGTTCCCCTGGGACCCGCACCTCCACTGTGGGCCACAGTGGGCCCCAGCTTTGAGCGCAGGAGCAGAAGGGACCAGGAGAGAGGTGCTGGAGCAGAAGAGGGAGAAAGAGAAGAGGCAAAAGAGCCAGAATCCTGTGTGCTCTGTGGTTTTCTCTGTCCTCACAGGGTTATCAAAGGTTTTCACACCTCCTGTGGCTCCCATGTGACTTGCTTCCTTCTTTTTGAGAAGTTGATTGATGTCATCACATATAATTTATCCTCCTCCAACATATCCCACTCCCAAAGCCTTATTATCATCTTCTTTCAACTGATTAGGGAGTGTAAGGATTTTTTCCCTGCTAGGTAAGGACATTTTTTGCCTCCCACTTTGACCTGATAGGACCCATGGTTTCAAAAAGAATCCCCCAGCTTGTAAGATCTCTTCCACCTTCTTAGTGTGTTTGTGCAAAAGTTCTGGGTCATTGTCAGATGTTAAGATGTCATCAACATAACAGTCTTCTTCCAGGATCCTCCGCTCCTCTTTACAGCTGTCAAACATGGGCAGTTTTGCTGTCTCTCGCATTGCTACTTGGGCAATACATCCAGCAGGTCGATCCCCAATGTTAACTCTGGTAATGGCAAACTCACCGATCTCCTCTTCTGAGCTGTCTCTCCAGAGGAACCTGTGTAGATGTCTCTCCAGGTCCTCAAGCCACACAGAGTTATACATCTTTTTAATGTCTCCCAAGGCAGCATGCAGTCCCCTTCTGAACCTGAGTAGAACAGCACGAATAGGATTTAAAACATCAGGACCTTTCAGCAGAATATCATTCATACTTAGACCTTCAAATCTTTGACTGCTGTTCCATACTAAACGCACAGGAGTGGTCACAGAATGAGGATTTGGTGCCACCTGGTGGTTTACATACCATACTGGTCCTTTCCAGTTGTTAAGGGAGGCTTATGTTAGCTTTATTGCTGCTTTCCTCTCCACCATTTCATGCACCTGGTTTGCATAGACAGTTTGCCATTCAGGCTCTTTATTTAATCGTCTTTCTGTTCTTAAGAAAGTTGATTCAACACTTTTCCTGTTATTGGGAAGACAAGTGGGTTCTACAATCCAAGGATACTTTGCATCCCAGTGGGGAGCATCACTGTGGTCATCTGCTTGCACATAGGTAAGACCTTGTTTAATTATTTCAAGTTCTTTCTCCTCCATTAATGTCATATCTTTTCCACCTGGTTGACATGTCCCACAGCGACATCCACCACACTTTGGTTCACAAGCTGTTCCTATGCTCTCCCACTTCCACCAATCAATAAACTCTTTATTGGTAGTTGTACTTTTGCTTTCTGCTTTAACTTCTTTGAAACTGCAGACTTCTTCATACTTTACAGCAGCAGTGCGCATAGAACGAGCAAAGTGTGTCTCTGACCTGTGTGCTGCCACGTCGACATCTTCACAAAGGTCCGGATGAGCTCCTCCCACGGTCATGCCTAGTGGACTGTTCCACAGGACCAGGTCTCCAACAACCTTGACTCTTTGAGGGGCCAGTCTGCCTTCTCTGTGACTTATTAGCAGCTCAATGGTATCTGGTCTTTTGAGGTCTTCCAGGTCAACATCTGGGAAAAACTTTTGCAGCTGCAGTGGTTGAATGACTTTATGCACTTTAGCAATTTCACTGAGTCCATAACAAATGAGCTGGTGGGCTTTCACTGTGCCTTTGGGGGTTTTGACTCTAACTTTTAACAGGTATCGTTTTGTTCTTACTTTGACTGACATTCCCCCAACACCATGAACAACTAATGTTATGTTCTCACCTTCTAGGTTCAACCTTTTAGCTGCTTGATGAGTAATGTAATTGGTATCAGAAGCCAAGTCAAACAAAGTGCCAATTTTCTGGCCTGCATTTGCAGTGACTTCCAACAGCATTAGAATGACATGTTGCTTCTTTAGTCCATGTGACTCCATAAGCCCAGGGACTTTACACTTTGTGTTTCTTGTTGAAGCAGTTACATTTGAAAAGGCTTTTCTGCATTCTTCTGCTAGTTCTGGTGAAAGTCCAGCTATGAATTTCTCCTGCTCTTCTGTTAGTCTATTTTTCCTTCTTGGTTTATCAATCCCAACCCTTGTAAGCTCACCCTTTGGGCAAAGGAGGAAATGGTGATCTGAAAAGCTCCCTTTCTTACAGTCTTTGTTTCTACAAAGGTAAGTGTTGATGCATCCAGCATCGTCTTCATGCTTTCTCAAACACCTTTTGCATGTTTTCAATGTCTTTACAATGTTGAGCTTTTCAGGTACATTCATTTCTTTGAACTGTTTGCAGAAGAATATTTTATCTCCATGTCTTGCATTTCCACACACAATACAGACATGATTCTTTCTTGTGGATCGAGTAAAAGCATGTTGTTTCTCAACCTTTTTCTCCGTCTTTTCACTCACTCCAAGTTGCTCTAATCTCTCTAGAACTTCCTCCTGTGTTTTTAAAAATTTGAGAAGACTATCAAAATGGTTATCTGGTGTAACTGCATTGGCAGGATTAACCATAAAAACTAGCCAGTCTCTTTTTATAATATCAGGTAGTTTGCTCTCTAGAGATTTAATAACCAGAGGGTTTTTCATGGCTCCAATGTTACCTAGCTCTGTTAAGTCAGCTAGAGCCTTTTCAATTGCTTGTATAAGATCTATCACCTTCCTTGGCTGATTTGCTTTCAGGGGTGGAGTCTTCTCAAGCTCTTCAATAATTTCTAAAGCAATGCTTGACTTGTCGCCATACCTATTTTCCATCACTCGGAACATATCTGCAGCAGTATCATAAGCAGACAGGTGTAATTCACTGCAGATCCTTTCATCTACACTATCCAACAACTGAAACTTTTTCACTTCCACTGAGCCACTTGGTTCTCCCTGCTTCTGGAGACTTTCCCAGTCTTTTCTCCATCTGTGAAAGTTTCTTTTACAGCCATGACATTTTGGTAGACAAATGGGCCTGATCTTTACAATGGGTGCGGGTGGAGCTAGTATAGGTAAAGGTGTAAGGTCTGATTGAGCAGCATCTGATTTACTCTTCTCCTCTGCGATCGTTTGTGCTATGGCAAACTGTGATTTTCTTGCTTGTAGTTTATTTTTCATCAATTTAATCTGTTTTATTCTGTCTTCAATATTGTACCTCTCTTCTACAGGAATCCAGGTCACAAAACTTTTAAAAGATTCCTGGATCACATTCTCCACAAAGGACAGTTGGACTTCATATGCACTTTTGTTCACAGTTAAAACTTTTATGTCAGAAGCATCATTACATGCCTTTTCTGCCTCTTGGATTGCAGTATAGAGCTCATCTTGACCATATTTTTTCCACAAATTAGACTGAACTATTTGTTTGACTTCCACTAATTTTGATTTACAGTCATCAATAGTCTTTTCCAAATCAGCTTCTTGCCGTTTATCAAGTTCACCAGCTTCAACTTCCATCTCTGCTAATAGTCCAGCTTTGTAATCATCATTTGAATCACTTACATGTCTGGCATCAGAGGTTAGCTTTTTGAACTCCTCTCGCAGTTCCATCTCTGTCATGTTGGAAGCTTTTCTGCTCAGGAAGTTTGCTTGCTTGGTGAAGGAAGATTTTGCCATGGTGCGATCCAGCTTCAATTGTTTCAGTGACTTTCCAAACATTTCTTCAGCCATTGTGGATTGTACAGATGAGATGACCTGATGTCCTCCTTGAGTTGATTCGTCAAAGCCCTTTTGTCAGGACTTCACCGCCATCAGGTCTTCTAGGTTTCCAATTGGTTTCCAAGTGGTTTTCAACTGGTTTTCAACTGTCAAGTTTTTGGCCTCTACAAACCACCTTGCCTTCTGCCCAAACTTGGAAAGGGCTTGCTCCCATCAAAGAGACCCAGGACCAACTCATCTCAGTGTTTTCTTTAAATCACTTCACTTTCAAAGACAAGACAACCAAGCAGGTTGAAAACCTACAAACAAACAAAACAAAACACAATGAATTAATAAGTTTCCAGTCAATGTTTTTTACTTTTGAGTTATCATATAAAATTTTGCTTTTTCCCAGCAAAAGCGCTGAAAAAGTAAACAGACCATTTTGACTTTGTTTTATCTGTAGTTGAATATTAACCAAGGTACAGAATTTCACAAAAAGAGCAAACAGCACATCCGGTCAGTTAGAGCTCTGAAGACACCTTAAGGCAAGCAGGATGATTTCCAGAGTGTGGTTGTTATTGTGGTTCTGTGGTTTAACTTTGGCTCAGGATGGGTTTCCTGAAACAGAAGTGACCGCTGAAACAGAGTCATGCTTTCCTAATATGTGCAAGTTCCTCAAAGAGTTTGGGGCCATAAAAGAGAAACAAAAAACTATGGAAACAAGCATGAACGAGAAGCAGGAGGCTCTTGAAACAAAGCTGAAGGAGACTGAAAAACTGGTTCTGGAGCTGAAGGAGAAAGGTAAAGCTCTTTCTGAATTTATTGGCAATGTATTTTTGAACAGATGCGGTTCAGTTTTTTTTTTTCATATCTATTTAGAAGCACAAAAGGTCGTATTCAGTGGCGCAGCAGGGGGAAGTGGGTCTATTGGGCCTTTTACCACAGATACAACCATAATCTACAGAACAGTGATAACAAATGTGGGCAATGCTTACAATCAGCACACAGGTGAGTCATTTTATATTTTTAAGTATGAATAGGTAAGGCTGTTAAGCTACTTGCAATTTAATGCAGTGCATTACTTCAGCTAGATAAATCAAAGCAACTAAGTGCACTCTCTCTGCAGCGGGGAGAGACTTTTACTGCAGAATTACCAACAGGGAGCTGAGATACACATATGTGGCACTGCTTGGCTGAAAGAAGCAACAATGTGGAAGAGTGTTCAACATGGCCCAATCCCAGACCAGCCCCTAAACGCCAACCCTAAGCACTAACCATCTGTTTGCGCATTTCCGCGGAGTGTCCGCCACATTAGGAGTCGTCCACACCACATAATTACCACTGCATGAAAAGTGAGATTTTCGTCCCCGTAAACTCCCGCAGATTTTCGTCAGTTTCCGACAATTTGCAACCTCCGCTTGTCGCCGTTTGTCAGTGCCACAAATTGTCGGGAACGGACTCTGACGTATGTGGAGAGCGATCAGCTGTACTAATGGCCCTAATTAGCATATGAATGCAGCGAACCCGCGCGGCTGGCCAAGTCTGGCTTGAATAACCTACTCAGTATTGGCTGAAACCACTATTCTCAAACAAGTAAAATCGCTCGTGATTGGCAGCAAAACCACACGTGGCCACGCCAGGCTTTAATTTTCTTACTGAGTATTGGATGGAACCACTTCTTTTTAAACAAGTAAAATCACTCGTGATTGGTTGGCATATATATATATATTTACACTCACCGGCCACTTTATTAGGTACCCCATGCTAGTAACGGGTTGGACCCCCTTTTGCCTTCAGAACTGCCTCAGTTTTTGGTGGCATAGATTCAACAAGGTGCTGGAAGCATTCCTCAGGGAGTTTGGTCCATATTGACATGATGGCATCACACAGTTGCCGCAGATTTGTCGGCTGCACATCCATGATGCGAATCTCCCGTTCCACCACATCCCAAAGATGCTCTATTGGATTGAGATCTGGTGACTGTGGAGGCCATTTGAGTACAGTGAACTCATTGTCATGTTCAAGAAAGCAGTCTGAGATGATTCCAGCTTTATGACATGGCGCATTATCCTGCTGAAAGTAGCCATCAGAAGTTGGGTACATTGTGGTCATAAAGGGATGGACATGGTCAGCAACAATACTCAGGTAGGCTGTGGCGTTGCAACGATGCTCAATTGGTACCAAGGGGCCCAAAGAGTGCCAAGAAAATATTCCCCACACCATGACACCACCACCACCAGCCTGAACCGTTGATACAAGGCAGGATGGATCCATGCTTTCATGTTGTAGACACCAAATTCTGACCCTACCATCCGAATGTCGCAGCAGAAATCGAGACTCATCAGACCAGGCAACATTTTTCCAATCTTCTATTGTCCAATTTCCATGAGCTTGTGCAAATTGTAGCCTCAGTTTCCTGTTCTTAGCTGAAAGGAGTGGCACCCGGTGTGGTCTTCTGCTGCTGTAGCCCATCTGCCTCAAAGTTCGACGTACTGTGCGTTCAGAGATGCTCTTCTGCCCACCTTGGTTGTAACGGGTGGTTATTTGAGTCACTGTTGCCCTTCTATCAGCTCCAACCAGTCTGACTATTCTCCTCTGACCTCTGGCATCAACAAGGCATTTCCGCCCACAGAACTGCCGCTCACTGGATGTTTTTTCTTTTTCGGACCATTCTCTGTAAACCCTAGAGATGGTTGTGCGTGAAAATCCCAGTAGATCAGCAGTTTCTGAAATACTCAGACCAGCCCTTCTGGCACCAACAATCATGCCACGTTCAAAGTCACTCAAATCACCTTTCTTCCCCATACTGATGCTCGCTTTGAACTGCAGGAGATTGTCTTGACCATGTATACATGCCTAAATGCACTGAGTTGCCGCCATGTGATTGGCTGCTTAGAAATTAAGTGTTAACGAGCAGTTGGACAGGTGTACCTAATAAAGTGGCCGGTGAGTGTATATATATATTTACATATATATTTACATAAATATATATGTAAATATTTATATATATATATTTTTTTTTTTTTCATATATTTATTTATTCATATGCTGTGTATTTATGTTATCCTACACTACTACTGTGAAAACAAAATGTACAGTTATGATCGTTATCAATCCGTATCTATTTCCTTTTACCACAGAATGAAAGCATATTCTTAAACTCTTACCCTTGCTCCGGTTCATAGCGCCTGCAATTTGTCTACTGCTTCCTGTGAATCACAAAAAATAGACTTTAATAAAGCTTGTTTTTGCAAGGCTACTATTAGCCGTAGCTTTAGGCTAGGCTACTATTAGCCGTAGCTTTAGGCTAGGCTGCTATTAGCCGTAGCTTAGGCTAGGCTGCTTTTAGCTTAGCAGGCAGTAATCGAACATATACCGCTAGCTTCTCTTCTTTGAGTTCGTCTCTCCCGCACAGTTGTTCGACTGCAGAGTCGCCATCGCGTCCAAGAGGAGTTGAAGGCGAGTTGAACGCTAGACGTCGTCCAGCCATTGATCACGTACCAGCAAAATCCAAACAAAGGAACTGGAGATAAAGTTCTTCTGAGTATAGCTCCTCCAATCACATACGAGGTCATTGTTTTACGGAAGGACTCGCGAGAACAGCTGCATCTATCATTTTTTATTTATTTTTTTGCTTTATTGGCAATTCCCTGTAACAATACAGAGTAATTGAAACATCAAACAAAGATACACAGCAGTTGGTGACATTATAACTTAAAAAAAATGAGGCATAGAATGTAAAAAAAAAATAAAAATAAAACAAGGGAAACAAACATATAAATAAATGAACAAATAAATAAAATAAACATAAAATAATAATAGCTAGGGGTTTACATTGAGTTTATGGTCATTTAACTTTTTGTAGCTTCCTGTCCTAAACAGTCTTTAATGAAACATAATTAGAAGATGCAATATTGTATATGTGAGAGAGGAGTTGCTGTAAAACAATGGTTTACCACAGATTTAACACTAGTAATAGCATAAAGAAATATGAAAATTCTAAAACAGTCTTTAGACTTTTTATCAGCAATTACTGTGGGTAGCACAACTTGTGTTACAGAAAATAGCAGGCTTTGGAGATATGTTCTGGATAATCTTGATTTATACCATACTACAGAACATTTCAAAAGGCTGCTGACTTGTTCTATGTTTATAGGTGAAAATAATTAAAACTACAAAAGAGCAACTTTGCTGTTCTCCATAAATGTTGGGAAAATTGTTTAAAGGTTTGTTGCATAAGGGCGTGCTTTGGTTGCCTAGTATTTAGCGCACAAAACCCATGTACAGAAAGATTCCTTAGTCCTCGACATGGATGACCCGAGTTCGAATCCTTGGCCGCATGTCTCTCTCTCTCTCATACCCCCTTTCCTGCCAGCCTACTGCCAAAAATACGAGACACTAGTGCCGTAAAAACTCCAAAATGTGCTGTAAAAACTCCCAAAAAAAAGGCTCTTGCATAAAAGCTTCTACAACACAATGCTGTTGATGGTAGATTGTTTTGAAGGGTCAGACAGGAAAGCTTGGTAAACAAATCTAACATATCTGAGATGCCGATACCATTTACTGTAAAAGAAAGGACAACGGAGAGAAAATGTAGAGAATAATGTAGGAGTGCTGCTAGAATTTCAGTTCCCAGATCTGTGTTTTCTATTACTTCTACAACCACTAAAACTTATGTTATAAATGTACGTTATTGGCAAGTGAAACCCTGTCAGAGCTTTCCTTAGATATCGGCCCAGTTACAGTTTGCCCTGCAAAAATAATCTGCTCTCTTGAAAATCTCAAACTCTTGCCACATTTCAGGCATCGAACATAAACATTTTTTAGTGAAGAATCAACAACTAGTTTTACCCCATTATGAAGTGTAATTAAATATATGGGATATTTTTAACTTTTTTAACAAATAAAAAACTGAAGAGTGGGGTGTGCAAAATGAATCGGCCCCTTTTACTTTCAGTGCAGCAAACTCTCCCCAGAAGTTAAGTGAGGATCTCTGAATGATCCAATGTCGACCTAAATGATACTAAATAGAATCCACCTGTGTGTAATCAAGTCTCCCGATAAATGCACCTGCTCTGTGATCGCCTCAGAGGTCTGTTTAAAGTGCAGAGAGCATTATGAAGAACAAGGAACACATCAGACAGGTCCGAGACACTGTTGTGGAGAAGTTTAAAGCTGGATTTGGAAACAAAAAGATTTCCCAAGCTTTAAAAATCCCAAGGAGCACTGTGCAAGGAATGCACATTTTACCTTGCTGATTCTGATTCACATTTTACCAACTGATTCTGATTAAAACTAATTTTTGAAATAAATTATTTTGTGTATTTTTTTACATAACATTTGCCATGGCTAATGGCATACACAGTAATCTAGCGTACTTTAATTAAATAAATCAATTCAAGCTAAAATGTAAGAGTTTATAATTAGGTCATACTGAGCCTGATCTATTTGTACCATCTATTTGGGGGATATTTATTGCCACACTTTGGACCACTTAATACCAATTTAAGTGCAGTATAATGCGCCATGTTATAAAGTGAATCATCTCAGACTCATTTCTTGAAACTTTTTCACTTAAGTAATTGTGAATTGAGCATATTGATAGACAACATTTTATTTTTTATCTTAAATGCAAATTTTTTTAAAAATAATTACTGCTCTAAATGTATTGCTCTGTCAGCTAAAGATCTGTTTTGGTCTCTATACTTTAATTAAATAAATGCGCACTTTCATCTGGTTTGGTCGGCTTCCGTAGCGTCGTGAACGCGCAGGCGCACGCTTTCAGGAAATCCTATACACTACTGTTTATGCTCTAAAAACATTCTAAATGACTTCGTTTCGATTAAATTCTGGATGCTACACACTCAGGACACTTGAAATACATTGGACGAGCAGTATGGAGGAATATTGACACGTTTTTTGTGGACTTTTATGGACCTTTCTGCCTCGGGCACCATAGACCTCCATTATTTGAATGTCAGCAGACAGCAAGAAGCCTCCCAGATCTCCAGATGCATTTGAGATATCAAAAAAGTACTCCAGAGTGTTGTTCAGCATGGGGGTGAGTAGGAAATGAAGGCTAATCATGTTTTGGGTGTACTATTCCTTTAAGGGGTAGTGCTTAGGGGATAGTTTGGGATTGGGTCATCGTGTTGAGCACAGATTGAGACGATAGATGATGGGGCAGAGTCCATGGGTAATCACTGCAAATGTATTAAATGCAATTCAATATTCATTATCTGTTTTGGAAATATGGTCTCTATTTGTTAAGCGCTATTCACAATCAGGTCTTGCCTTGTGATCATATTAGTGGTCTCACCAACCACTAGAGAGCGATGGCCTAGTGGTTAAAGTGCAGTGACAACTATATTCAGAGAAACATTCAGGGCCCTGGTCAAACCCACCCACTGCCCTGTTGAGTAAGAGCCTTAGCAGATGAATGCTGAGGTGCCTAAGTGATTGGTTAAGTAAAAGAAAACACCATTATTTTAATATGAAATGTTTTTGATAAAGACTAAAATTTAAATAAAACTATAACTATAATATGTATATCATAGTTAAAAATAAATGTTTAAATAACAATGTTATGTAATTATACATGTTATTTACATGTTGCTTTCCACATCACATACAGTGATAGCAGTGTAAAAGTTTTGCAGACTGGCATCTAGAAGGTTGAACCAATATCTACTAAACTTGTTTGTTTTTCTTCCAGGTATTTTTGCTGCACCTGTTGCAGGTACATATTACTTCACCTTCTTTTATCATGCCGGAGGATCAGAAGCTGTAAGTCTAGCCCTTATGAAGAACAATGAGGTTATTGTGACTGCCTACGACCATAAGACATCTCATGATGGGGCTGATAATGGAGGAAATGCAGCATTTCTGCAACTGCAGCAAGGAGACCATGTCTATATGCGGTTGGGTCCTAATACTAATGTCTGGGGGGACAGCCATATCACTACATTCAGTGGGATTCTTCTGCATTTCCCCTGAAATGAAGTACAGTATACAGGAGTTTTTTTTGTTTGTTTTTATCAATTGACCAATGTAAATAAAATTGCATTATCACATTAATATTTCTGGTCCTTTGATGCTGTATGTGGACCCACTGGAATTAACCGAGATAAAAATGTATCAAATAAAGAAAAGATCTTTAACAGTTTTTGAAAGAAAAATGCTTTAATTTGTTTCACCTGTTTGATTGGTTTTAGTCATATTCCTGATAATTGAAAACATAGTAGACAAAAACCTGAGGAATGTGTACTGGAGAATGGCAAGTTTAAGATCATTTTCTACATTTATCGAAAAATAAGGGTTTTCATTGTGAAAGCTTTCTATTAATGTGATGTATTTTGTAATACTGTCATCGACATTTGCAAGTATTATGCAAGTATTATGCACATAGAGATTACGCAGCTGGGTATGATATACATATATACAGTGATGGACAGTATTCAGTTCAATTCAGTTTGTATATAAAGCTCCAATTGTTTATATAGCTCCAATTCACAACACATGTCATCTCAGGGCACTCTAGAGAGATAATTCAACCAGATCATACAGGCAGATTGGTTCAAAGTTTTCTATCTAAGGGACACATTTACTTGAAAGCAATCCCTTTCAACAAGCACACTTAAGTGACAGTGGAGAGGAAAAGTCGCTTTTAACAAGAAGGAACCTCCAACAAAACCAGAATCAGTGTGAGCTGCCATCTGCCGAGGCCGATTGGGGTTCGAGGAGACTAAAGCATTCATAGAAAAATAAGCAGAGTTATCAGAGGTAACTTTCAAACAGCTCCATAGGCGGCCCCAACCAGGAAACACATAACCAGGCAGATGAACTCCGAGCCAGCCCCCACATCAGAGGATGAAAAAGAGCACAACATTTTTCAGAGAATTCATTATCCTCCAACATGATAAAAGAATGTGAAGTAGTTTTGCCTTTAACAGGTGACACAAAAATACCTAGGAAAATAACATATTTTTTAATAAATAGAGTACAACAATTTTCACACTTTAAGAATTTAGACTGATGATATCAAATATGTGGAAATAAAAGCATTAGAGACAAAATGTCACGATTGCAGCCCCGGTAGATTATTTAATTACTCACTTCATTCACCTGCCATTCGCTCCCGCTGCTCTAATTTTCATTCATCTTATCCCCCTGTTCGCTCTGCTTTATATACTTTTCAGCCCAGGTCCAGATAATAAGTTATTCGTATGTACTCTTGTTAGTTGTTCATGTTTGTTTGCTTTTGAGTTTAGTTAAGTCCCTGTATTATGTCCTGACTATTGGGGCCCTGTGTGTCAAGAGGATTGTGTCCCGGCTCTTCACCTGGTTATTACCTGTTAATGCCTACATCAAGACAAAAGTTTTTTACTGCCTGCATCTGAGCCTCTGAAAACTTAGTGGACAAATATTACTTCTGATGGAAATCTACCCGCAGAACTTCAGGCTTTTTTACTTTGTCAGACTGTTTAGCGTGACTGTTTAGCCATGTTGGCACTTCAGCTAAAGTTTGTGTTTAAAGTTTGTAATATATGTTTCAATTGTTGGCAGGATATATGTTTTAACTCTTATTGTGTGCTTGATTTAAACTACTTTTGTGGTCTAAAATGCTGGCATACAAGGAACTTTCTATGTATTTTTTCAATTTTATATATTTCAGAACGAGTCCAGAACTTATGTCCAACAACAGCCTCACTTATGCATAAGGCACAGCAGCGCTTCGAGATGCCCACGTAATGTCACAAGCAGTGTCCTGAGGGTGGCAGCAAAGCGCCCAGAGGCACCCAGCCTGCATAAAAAGATTTCTGTGATTGCGGTATTAACCTAGCTGCTACCACCCACCAAAAAAAAAAATTATAAATAAATGAAAAAAAAAGTTAAAAACAAATGAAGTTTGCAGTTGCAGCTGATTCAGAGTCATGTCTAGTAGGAAGTTTGTTGGTCATGGCCATGAACACAGGCAGGATCCATCACACTCACCTTCTTGCTCACCCTATGATGGGGCTTTCTTCCTGTTAACCTCCTTTTATACCAAAATGCTGCCAATATGCCATTAGAAACATGTTCAGCAGTCATCTGGAACACATCAAATACATCGATATGGGTTGGAGATACGTTGTTGATAAGTTACACATAAGTTATGCAAATGTTACTCATAGGTTTTGGATAAGCTAGACACCACCATTTATGAGTAACTTACACTCAACATATGTCAATGATCAAATAACTTACCTGCAACTTAAGGCCCACATATGAGCAACGGTGGCATACATGAAGAAATTTTGAGCATGCTCAAATCTTGAGCATGCTCAAAATTTCTCAACTTACTTGTTGTTTGTCTGGTCAACCTACTACTTTTGTGTGTTAGTGTGTTGTAAATTTCGATAGCAGTCTGTAGCATACATGGGTTTAGGTCAGGTATTTAATGCAATGCAATGTTCTAAACTCTTCCACTCTCCTAAGCCTTTAGGAGAGTGGGGATGTCCGGAATAGGGCTGAATGAGGAGGTCTTTAGCACATCCTGTCGGCCTAATAGGACAAGAATTTTCCTGCACAAATAGCAAAAACATTCTATGGGGGCCTAATTGTTAATATTTTCGTTTTCAAATCTAGCATAAATGGGAGCTTGTAGTTGTCGTCTCCCGCATCATCTGGGTCTGGGTGGCAAAGAAATCAGTCTCAGCAGAGACTCAGAGACATGCCTCTCCCCAGATACCTCCTTCAGCTCTTTCTGGAGAAGCCGAAGCCCTCCTACCTGTTCTGGTTTGTCCTCTAGGCCTTATCTTGGTGGGACATACATGGAACACCTCCCAAGGAAGGCATTAAGGGGGAATCTGAAAAAGATATCCGAGCCACCTCAGCTGACTTCTCTCAATGTGGAGGAGAAGCGGCTCTACTCCCAAAATCGCTGGAATGACCGAGCTTCTCACCCTATCTCTAATGGAGTGCCCAACAGTGCCCAGGTATCTGGTTATATCAGCTATGACCCAGATTTCATGTCCACAGATGAGTGTAAGAATGTAGACCGACTGGTAGAATGAGAGCTTGGGACCTTTAATTGTTGTTCTTTTATGTCAGAAAAGAAGAAGGTAGTTATCGAAGAAGTTACTCAAGAAAGGTTAAAGAAGTACTTGTTAAAATAGCTAATCAAGAACCAAATAAAGCTAGGTAGATGTGATATAATGTTAAGAATGATGTGATCAGATAGAAAGTTATGTAAGAGTTGATGACTGGATCATTAGTTTTTTTTCCTTCCACCTGCTTAGCTTTGCCCAGTTTTCATCTGCCTTGATCTAATCCACCTGTTCCAGCTCCTATTTATGCTGCCTGTTTTCTGGCCTTCAGTTCCAGCTTATTTGAATCGAGTGTGAGAAGTACCCAAGTGTACCTTGTTGTTTTTTTCGACTGCCTAATCCTGACCTGTTTCTGCCTTTGGTTTGTTGAGTTTTGGCTTACCCCTATTCCAGGCTGTTTCTCCCTTCATACTGTGTTTGGGCTTCTGATTGAGATCGGTCTGTTAGCAACCTTGGTTCTTTTCCCTGACCCTGTTCTGGATTATCTCATCAGTACCTCTGTGACTCTCTGATCTTCTGGTATGGACCCCTGCTTCATCACCTGCTGTAGATTCAGCCTCTGGACTCCTTTGCTCATCAGCATCTGCTGGCTTGCGCTCTACAGGCTGTTCTGCCTAGCTCCTCGAACTGTCTGTCATCCAACTCGTTCCCACTCCTTCCTCTGGACACGGACTGAACTCAGAACCAAGTTAGCGATTCACATGCTTGTTATTGTTCCCTATCAGATTCTAATGATCACTAACCTGGATGTTTCTACAGAGAATCCAGCAAGCTGGTCCCAGCTGATGAGCTCATAATCCAGAGCTACCAATAGTACTTTTTCTTTAAAAACACCTGTTCTGTCTGGGACTTAGCTCAATAGTAAAGTAAATAAAGATTATTTTTCTTATTTTAATCATTACATATATTAGCTGTGACATATAAATCAAGGTGCTATGACCGAAAAAAAATTGATTGACAGGTAACCGTTGATATATGATTGGTCGAATTTAGGTGTACAACCTGACGTATAATAGGGTGACCACATGTCCCTAATTTCCAGACATGTCCCCGATTTTACCTTTTTATGAATGAGGGAAAAAATGTTGCTTATAGACTGTTGTAGTAGAAAGAGTGCACAAGCATGCTGAGCACAGAAACAGCTGTTATTGTATGGATGAGGAGCCGAGTGCACCAGTTTTAAAACAGATGAGAAAGTTAGTTATCACAGTTGGCTGGACAAAGCTACGCTGTGTTAAAGCAAAATCCCACATCCTCTGTCACCGCCCTGCCCCTCTCCAGAGTGCCTGTGCCTGAGCAAAGCATAAAGCCTCTGCTGTTCCTTGTGTCTTGCTGAGCTCAGACAACTTCTGAGCTTGAGGAAAGCATGATATTATTATTAAATTCATAGGAGCAAAACATGCAGAAATTAACATTTAATTTAGTATGACATATTAAAAAGATCCCCATCAGCATCTAGCATATGTGCAGTTTCTGCCCAAATATTTTCTTTTTGTTGTGGAATTTTTTAACAGGGATAACTACTTACATATAATCTTTATAAATAATAACAGCTTCTTTAAAACAAAAAGCACAGCTGTATCTATGAATAGAAAGTAGGATTGGGAAAACATATTCCTGTTAGGTTTCACTATAACTTTATTAAATGACACATTATTTTTATGTTGGCCCTGTGAGTTTTTTTTTCATTCATCTATACGTGTGATGAGAAAACATGTATTTTTGGTGTGGCTGTTCCAAGCTGCTCATGAAAATGATCAAGATTTATAGATGTATTTTAATGGTTATAATTTAATCTGAATAAAAAATCTAATGTTTGTTGGGATCCAGAGGCTTGCCCACCAGAGGGCGCCGAGGATCCCTTCCTGGTGGTTTGTTCATCTGTTGGGATCTGGGGTGCTGTCTACCTTCCTCCACCAGAGGGCGTACTGGATCTCCTGAAGCTGGAGCTGACTTCACCAGCTGCTTCTCATCTGCTCATCAGGAGACCAGTACTTAAGTGGGCTGTGGACAACACTCCAGTGCCAGAGTGTTTTGCCAGTTATGGTTAGCAAGTCTGAGCCAATCTGCCTGCCTG